TAGTAATCCGAGAAATAAAAAAAATAACCAATTATAACATGTCTATACACAGATAGTGCCAAAAAATTACATACTATTAGGAGTCATTTGGTATGAGGTATAAGTAGATATAGTGCAGGTATAAAAATTTAATGTCACTTTAATACTTTGTTTGGTTAGCAAACCTGGTATAAGTTATTCCGGGATTAAAATTAGTACCGAGATAACTTATACCTAGTAGGGAGTGGGATAATTAGTGATGGGATAACTTATACCTTCTTCTTAGAAATTATGCAATTGTCATTTTGAATCCAACATACTAAACAATGGATAAAAAATAATACCAAAATAACTAATCACAGCATAATTTATCTTAGTATAACTTATCCCTAAGGTGTATATTAGTTATACCCGATTAAATTTAACTTATATATAAGTATAAAAGAACTTTTACATTATTAGTTTCTCCTAAAGATATTTAAAGGTGCCTGATGCACTTTCAACAAGTACACAAAAATGTTCCTTAACATCTAATAAAACTGAAATGAGACAAGTACATAAAAAAAAGGTCATTCATATAGTTTATAATGCATATGTAACTAAAAATTTGCATTTTGTTCTTTCTAGAGAGGAAAACAATCCAAGATCATGTATTTCTTTTAAATGGAAAAAGATATTGCAAATATGTTGTTAAAAATATTAAGCAAAAAGTTCAATAAAAATGTTCACAAACAAAGGCTACCTTGCCACTTGAGAAAAATCCAAATCTAAGTTTACAAACTCAATTTGTTGAAATTTTCAAAAAAAAATTAAAAATAATAAAGTGCAACCTTGCCACTTGAGGTCCAAATTGAAAATTAGGCAGGGTGGAAATGTTTAAAGTTGGGTTCAGTTGATACAGTTTGTAGGTTAAATTCACAAATAACCACTATTTAATCATGTACCAAAAAAATAGCTATTATCATTGAGTTTCAAATTTTATAGGTGAAACTTCAGGATATTGTCATGTAATTACTCCATAACAATTGCTATTTTTCAAGAGAAATTTTCATAAAATACTATCTTTTAGGGCTAATTAGCTATTTATAGAAACCATTTGTTATATTACGAATTATAGATATGTTTTCTGTTGTTATAAAATGTATTAGATGTATTTAAGCTACTGTATTCATGAATACAATAACAAAAATAAGCGTGAATCAGGGAAGTTCAGCTAATCAGTTGTTGTATTCGAGTGTATTCGATTGCATTCATGGCGTGAAACATGAGATTACAACTGGACAGATTATTGTATTCGACTGTATTCACGGCGCGAAACAGGGGATTACACTGTTTTTAAATGGAAAGTGAATCAATTAACATAATAGACTCCCAATACAACTCAACAAACTCAATTATAACACACAAAATTTGTATTTTCAGTTATAAAAAAAAGATTCTTAACTGAAAAACACCCCAAAAACATAGCAATCTTCAGAAAAATATATAATACATCTGAATACATAAATTATATTAATTAAAAAAATATATGAATACATTCAAGGAATACAACGAGACAGTGAATACAATGAAATACATGGAATACAACGGGATACATTGAAATACAATAAAAAAAGACAATGAATACAATGAAATACATGGAAATACAAAGAGATACATTGAAATATATTAACAGAAAATGCAAGTTGCTCAGCCCTAAACTCTGGCGTCTTTATTTAAGAACAAACCCTAATTTCCGGCGAATCCGCCGTCGAGCAGTGGTGGCAGAATAAGGACTATGTTAAAGCTTGAATCTTGTATTGAAGATGACGAAAATTTGTATTTGCGGAGGCTGAAAAGGATTGCGTTGATTTCCTCTTTCACATCCTCTCATTGCTTGTGGGTAGTGTTGTCATGCCTCTCAAGGAGAAAGGGATGAACGGATGTTTGCCTAACCTCTACGGCATCATAGAAAATCTGAATGGCACCTACATTCAATCTAAGGAATGCAAGAACATCTTTTTTAAACCTATCCCCTAGGCATAAATCTGAGTCGTGTAGGTTCTCAGACAAAAGCATCCAACGACAACATAGAAAATCTAAGTCGTGTAGGTTCTCAGACAAAATCATCCAATTGTTAGGTGAGGAAGCAATACGTCCAAGGAAAACATTAAAGAAAATTCAAAAATTAAGAAACACTCAAGAGAATTGAAGAAATTGGGATCGGAGAGAACGTAGGTGATGTGGGTGAGAGGAATTTTGAGATTGAGCATCGTGGCTTCAGGGAATGAGGGAAGAGAATGGCATATATCAAAGTAGAGAGAGAAAAAAAAAATAGTGTAACTGAATAGCGTATTTAGTGGCTTAAGGTTAGGAGGTAACCAAAATTAGATATTTTGCTATAAACATTAAAATGTATCTATAGAATATAATTTTTTTAAATGGTATTTATTTAAAATAAATAAGGTGTTAACCTTTGCTATAGGAGGTAAAAATTCCATTTTTCAATTACAGGATCATAGTGGCTAGCCCACGCAATTACTTCCAAGTTTGTAAGGTTCAATATGGTCACTCATTGGCATCTTTTCTTGTTAAATCAAGAAGAATTAACCCAAATAACCGCTCATCCAAACATTTAAACTAAAAATAGTCGATGGAGATAAAATATATGCAAAATTTATGTATTATATGTGTATAACTATGTATAACCAGTGTATAATTTATGTATATGACTAGAAAAAAAATAATAAATATCGTAGGCTATTTGTGTAAAGATCCCTTAAATCAATTGGGACGCTAAGCCAACAATTAGGGATAACAACACTATGGGTATGCAAACTTGCGACTGCAAATTGTTAAAATAGCACGGTCCAGCCAGTTTTCGGACTGGTCATTCAAAAATAGCCAGCATTTACCAAGTCAATAAAATATAGCCACTATTTTGCTGCAAAAGAGACCGGTCCAGCATAATATACTCGAGTTCGGTGCACCTGTGTATGAACTTCCAGCATATTATGCTGGACCGGTATACTTTGCTGGTTCCAATATAATATATTGGAGACTGGAGCACCGGTGCTCCAAACTCCAGTATATTATGTTGGACCAGTATATTATACTGAAACTCCAGTATATTATGCTGGAGTACTTTTTCGGATTTTGAACAATGTTTTTGATCAGATTTATCTTTACATAAAAAGTGACTAAATTTTAATTACTTTTGAAACTATGGCTATTTTGAATGACCACTTGTAAATCTGACTATTTTTGAATTTCTCCCCTGCAAATTAGACTTGGGTTAGATAGCCAATACTTTTGGTCCAACAAATTCAATTTGGATATACAATCTGAGGCCCACGAGACAATCTCATATACTTGTAAAATGGGATTTTTACATAAATAGCCAGTTGTAGTGACTGTTTAATTTTTCTAGCCAGTATAAATAGATTATATATTGACTAGGATATACATAAATTATACATATATTATACATCTGTCAGCTATTTTTATTTTAAGCGGTTGGATAGATGGCTATTTAGGTTAATCCTTGTAAAATCATGTGATTGAGGAAAATATTCGCCAAAACCTCAAGCCCAAAAAAAATCATTAGTAATAAAATTGGTGCATTGACTTAGGAATACTTCTAAAAACATTATATATATCATATTTGGTGTTTACACTAAATTAAACAATTTAATTTTAAGTTACAAATTAAAATAAAAATATATATAAGCTAACCATGATTAGCTAATAAAAGTATATCTATAAATGTCTTACCTTGATTTATTTGGTGTAAATATCGTGAGTACTTTTTTCTGGAGTTGGCAATATGGGCTGGCCTGCATTTTACAGGTTGGGTATAATTTTTGATATCGTTCCAATAGATTACTATAACATGCAAAAAAATGGGGAGAAATTAAAAAATAGTCAGATTTACAACTGATCGTTCAAAATTAGCCCAGTTTTAAAAGTAATCGAAATTTAGTCACTTTTCATGTAAAGATAAATCTGAGCGAAAACACTGTTCAAAACCCGAAAAATACGTTAGTATATTATGTTGGAGTTCCAACATAAGTATACTTGAACTCCAGCATATTATACTGAATTTCCAGGATAAGTATGCTGGAACTCCAGCATAATATGATGGAGTTCCAGCATAAGTACACTAGAACTCCAACATAATATACTGGAGTTCCAGCAAGTATACCGGTCCAGTATAATATACTGGAGTTTGGAGCATCGATGCTCCAGTCTCCAGTATATTATAATGGAGCCAGCAAAGTATACCAGTCCAGCATAATATGCGGGAGTTCATACACAGGTACATCGAACTCCAGTATATTATGCTAGACTGATCTCTATTGCAGCAAAATGGTGGCTATTTTTGAATGACCAGTCCGAAAACTGACTATACCGTGCTATTTGAGGATAATATTTTATTCATTAAAAATCAATACTCAAAATAAATTACTCAAAAATATTTTCAAGGTGCTCATGACATATCGAACACCAACAAAATCATCTTCGTCAAGCACATCTGAATCCTCTTGTGAAATAAAGATATCTTAACATCTTCATTTTCATTTAAATCTATAATTAATAGGCAATGATAATTAGTTAAACATTAAGAAATAACTAAAATTTTAAGAATCAAAAATTATTTCTGTTCACATGAAAAATATTATCAATTTGAGATTGGACTAGTCTTCTCATTATTATTTTTTTATATATTTTATATATTTTTAAGTAAACACATTATTAAGCCCCACGGGCCGGCCCAGCCTAACCTCGGTCAAGCCTTATGGGTCACGGGGTTACTGGCCGAGCTTCAAAAAACTTCATTTCTCCAAAAATCTTAGCTCAATCTTACTAAAACACGGGTTTTGTTGGGCCGGATCAACGAGTCAAGCTCGTATTGACGGCTCTACTTTTTTCTTTATGAATGCAAAACTAAAATAAAATGATAATTTCTAAAATATATACTATGCTATATTTTTTCCGCAAACCTCCGTCCTATGTGATAAGGGATAACACAATCTGGCAAACTATTTTTGCCAACTTTTACGTATAAAACCTAAAACGAAATTATTTCTTGCGTCCATATTATTGTGATTCCACAGATTCTCTATAACTCTTTTATAAAGAAGAATATTTTCACATTTCATTGATTCCAATGAAATTTTTTGAATTTGATGCATTCTAGGTTTGACGTAAAATCTTCTTTTATTGCAGTTTGTGAGTTTTAAGGTAAATATGTTTTAACAGTTCTTGATTCTGTTAATACCATAATTAGACTGCTGGAATGCTATTTTGTTTATTAATTGATCTTATAATCATGAATTAATTCTGGTTTATCTTGTTTCTGGGAGATTTTCATTAATATTCCTTGAATCTGCTATGATATAACTCCCGCTATGCGCGGGGTTTGGAAAGGGTCGGACCATAACGTTTATTGTACGCAGCCTTATATTGTATTTTTGCAAGAGGCTGTTTCCATGGCTCGAACCCGTGAGCTCCTGTTTACATATTTATATGTTTAAATCACTTAAGAAACTAGCATTCATATTCTGTAATTGTTGTTTTCAGTGATTGGTAATTTATTATTGTAAAAGCATGATTCTAAAGTTTATGAAAATTGAATATTTTTCTTGATTCAGCCCGGTGCACTGAGCACCCTCTATGCGCGGGGTTCGGGGAAGGGACGGACCACAAAGGTCTATTGTATGCAGCCTTAGCGGCAACTTTGCCATTCCAATATGCTAAATAATTTTGGAAATTCACTTTTCTATGTTGCAGAGAAAACATTGTTTCGGTATAACCATCTGGCATCAGAAACACACTTGCATGACTAATCTGGATTGGCGCCGTGTAGGGCCCACTATAGAGAGAAGCACTCCCTACCAAAGATATAGTTGATATTGGTTTAGTAAGAGGAAAAGATGTTAAGATTATTGGCTGAAGTAGCTAATATTGGCAACTCAAAATCTGCTGAAGAAGGCCTAATAAGTGTTGTGCTACCACTGCTTAAACTTCTTTCCCTTGCACTTTTCGGATTAGTTTTAGCTCACAAGAAATTCCAAATTGTCCCAAGAGAAACATTCAAATTGCTTAGCAAACTTGTTTTTGCTCTTTTCTTGCCCTGTTTGATCTTCACTCACTTGGGACAATCGATAACGCCTGAGAATTTCGTGCATTGGTGGTTTATACCGGTTAATGTGTTGTTAAGTACACTAGTTGGCTTTCTCTTAGGAGTCTTAGTGGTGATCATATGTCGTCCACCTCAAGAATTTACTCGATTCACGATTATATTTACTGCATTCGGTAACACTGGAAATCTTCCACTAGCTATAGTTAGCTCTATTTGTCATAGTGCGGATAATCCCTTTGGACCTGATTGCAAGAGGAATGGAGTTGCCTATGTTTCTTTTGCTCAATGGGTTGCTGTGATTCTAGTTTACACGCTCGTTTATCATATGATGGAGCCTCCGATGGAGTACTATGAGGTTGTCGAAGAGGGAGTTGAAAAGGAGGAGGATCAGCAGACGGATAATGAAGTGAGTAGACCTCTTCTAGTTGAAGCAGAGTGGCCGGGGATTGAAGACAAAGAAAACGAACATTCAAAAACACCCCTTGTCGCGAAGATCTTTATGTCCGTTTCAAATCTTTCGATATCCAATACACCTGATATCGAAAACAATATAGTAGAAGATGCAGGAGAAAGTCCCAAGTCAATTAGGTGTTTGGCAGCACCTAAAGTTGTCAAGAAAATGAGAACAGTTGCTGAACAGACTCCTGTACAGCACATCCTTCAGCCCCCGACGATTGCTTCTTTACTTGCAATAATCGTTGGAATGGTTCCTCATGTCAAGGCGTTTGTCTTTGGATATGACGCTCCACTGTCTTTCATCACGGATAGTTTAGAAATCTTAGCTGGTGCAATGGTTCCATCGGTCATGCTAATTCTTGGAGGAATGCTCGCTGAAGGGCCTAACGATTCTAAACTTGGCCTTCGGACTATGATTGGTATATCAATAGCAAGACTTTTGGTGCTTCCTTTGTTGGGGATTGGCGTTATTACATTGGCCAATAAGATGCATTTTCTTGTCGAGGGTGATCATATGTATACGTTTGTGCTTCTGTTGCAGTATACAACGCCAAGTGCAATCTTGTTGGGTGCAATTGCTAGCTTGAGAGGTTATGCAGTAAGTGAAGCCTCGGCACTTATTTTCTGGCAACATTTATTGGCACTCTTTTCCTTGTCATTATACATTGTTGTTTACTTTAAGCTATTCTCTTTTTTCTGAGCTGAATTTCGAGCAGAGTTACATGCTCTTGATTGTAATCATTGTACGTAAATGCTTCACTTGAAAGGGCACGATTACTAGTGTATGACTAGCTTGTTCTGTAATCAGACATTTGGATGTTATGCCTGATCTAATTTATGACAAAGCTGAGAACATATACAGAACTTGTTTAGATTCATTTCATATTCTATCCACATATAGGTTTATCTTTGGTTTGAAAAAAGAACAGTACAATAGATTTACTGATCAAAGGCTTCATAGAGTTCCTGTGTTTGCTTGCAACATCATTGACAAATAATGTGATCAGTCTGTGTACATCTTCCAAATGAACGGAAGAGAGAGAGCAGTGGCGGAGCCACATGTATTCAAGGGGTGACACCCTTTCACCGGAAACTTACAGTGTATAGTTAGGTAAAAGAAAGTTATACATATATACTATATAACTTCCTTCGACTGTTTCATGGGTTTACTTATGTTTTAACCCCCTAGTGAAAATTCTGGCTCAACCATTGCGAGAGAAACAGTACATATTAGACCTCAAAACTCCTATGAGTAATCATCTATATGAATAATAATGATACCTGATGTGCTGCTTACATAAAACCAATCAAACATGGTAGTCATAACATATAGTCATTCATCTGACATACACTTTACTTAGTCTTAAGTGTTCCATGTCTTATATAATCAGTTTAAGCAATTGGTTTAGTGGTGGATTTTCACTCTCCATGTTTGTTTGCTGAGAAAATTTTCTGATAGCTACTTTCCAAAAGTCTGTACTCTGTATATTTCCCTCTGGTCTGTATTAGTAACTGGAGTTTTATGGATTTTCAATCCATGTTACTAAGGGCTCGTTTGGTATGAGAGATAAGAGAAAATTAATCCTGGGATTAAATTTAAGATGAGTTTATCTCATATTTGATTGGGATAAAATCGTGGTATAACTAATCACGTGATTAGTTATCCGGGATCGTAGTATTTTTTTTTTATCCCTATAGGAGGGTGGGATACCTAATTCCCAAGATAACTAATCCCGGAGTAATTAATCATGGGATAACTTGTTTCCCAACCAAACGACCCCTAAGGCTACTCTCCAAATGAACTTGATACTAGCCTATGTTAGCCTATTGTAATGCTGATACTACAATAGGCTTATTGGAGAGTAGCAATGTAGTAATGTTAGCCTATTGGAGAGTAGTCATTGTAAACTATGTTAGCCTATTGTAATGCTGATACTACAATAGGCTTATTGGAGAGTAGCAATGTAGTAATGTTAGCCTATTGGAGAGTAGCAATTGACAATGTAGTAATGTTAGCCTATTGGAGAGTAGTCATTGTAAACTATGTTAGCCTATTGTAATTTGATACTAACAATCCATTTAGCCTTGCTATTAACAAAAAAAAAATTATAATAGCAATCCATGTTTTACTAAGGCTAAAAGGTTATGAATTTTATGTTAAAGCGAGACATAACAATCGCGGAAGATAGAACAAATAATACTGTCACAATCGAAAGGGAGAAGGTCCAAATTTGACCCTCAACTATGTGAAATGGCCTAGATTTTTCCCCGTCAATAGTTTGGGTCAAATGTGTCCCGATCGTTGAAAAGGGTAAAAAATATCTCTCTACTATTGTTTATTGTTTACTTATGCCACCCGTTATACTTTTCGTCCATATTTGTCCCTGCCGTTAACAAAGTTTGCAAAATTACCCCTAACCCTAACGTCCCTCCACTGTGGCAGCTGACCCCATCAATTTTATCCATGTCAGCTACCATGTCATCGACCCCACCAAATTAAAACCCTAAATAAACGACCCCCCACTCCTCACCTATCCACCCTTTCTCTCATCTTCTCTCCCTCACCTCATACCAAAATCGTCAAAAACCATGGCATTTCACCGTAAAATTTTCAGCGGGCAGAACTAACCTCCACGGTAGTGGCTCCCCTCTTCGTATCCTTTCTCCTTCATCATGTTTCGTCATTCAAGCAGCAACCCCGTTCCGCCAAACCAGCAAATGGAACCGGCGAAACTCGCCGAAAAAGTCACAAGGCCACCACCACTGACTACCTCTACTCTTTCTCACTCTATTCCCTCTTCTTCTTCATTTTCATCCAGCATGAAAACAGGCGAGATCTACAGATCTTGATTAAAAATGGAAAAAACACCACTGCCTTTCCCCTCCTTCAAGGGAAACATTCAAATTGCTCAGCAAACTTGTCTTTGCTCTTTTCTTGCCATGTTTGATCTTCACTCACTTGGGACAATCAATAACGCTTGAGAATTTCGCGCATTGGTGGTGTATACCTGTTAATGTGTTGTTAAGTACACTAGTTGGCTTTCTCTTAGGAGTATTAGTTGTGATCATATGTCGTCCACCTCAAGAATTTACTCGATTCATGATTATATTTACTGCATTCGGTAATACTGGAAATCTTCCACTAGCTATAGTTAGCTCTATTTGTCATAGCACGGATAATCCTTTTGGACCTGATTGCAAGAGGAATGGAGTTGCCTATGTTTCTTTTGCTCAATGGGTTGCTGTGATTCTAGTTTACACGCTCGTTTAGCATATGATGGAGCCTCCGATGGAGTACTATGAGGTTGTCGAAGAGGGAGTTGAAAAGGAGGAGGATCAGCAGACGGATAATGAAGTGAGTAGACCTCTTCTTGTTGAAGCAGAGTGGCCAGGGATTGAGGACAAAGAAAATGAACATTCAAAAACACCCCTTGTCGCGAAGATCTTTATGTCTGTTTCAAATCTTTCAATATCCAATACACCTGATATCGAAAACAATATAGTAGAAGAAGCAGGTGAAAGTCCCAAGTCAATTAGGTGTTTGGCAGCAACTAAAGTTGTGAAAAAAATGAAAACAGTTGCTGAACAGACTCCTGTACAGCACATCCTTCAGCCCCCGACGATTGCTTCTTTACTTGCAATAATCGTTGGAATGGTTCCTCATGTCAAGGCGTTTGTCATTGGATACAACGCTCCATTGTCTTTCATCACGGATAGTTTAGAAATCTTAGCCGGTGCAATGGTTGCATCGGTCATGCTAATTCTTGGTGGAATGCTCGCTGAGGGGCCTAATGATTCCAAACTTGGTCTTCGGACTATGATTGGTATATCAATAGCAAGACTTTTGGTGCTTCCTTTGTTGGGGATTGGCGTTGTTACATTGGCTAATAAGATGCATTTTCTTGTCGAGGGTGATCATATGTATACGTTTGTGCTTCTGTTGCAGTATACAACGCCAAGTGCAATCTTGTTGGGTGCAATTGCTAGCTTGAGAGGTTATGCAGTAAGTGAAACCTCAGCACTTATTTTCTGGCAACATATATTGGCACTCTTTTCCTTGTCATTATACATTGTTGTTTACTTTAAGCTATTCTCTTTTTTCTGAGCTGAATTTCGAGCAGAGTTACATGCTATATTTGGTCGTCATTGTACGTAAATGAGATGTTTGGTTATTATGCCTGATCTTATTATTGACAAAGCGGAGAACATATACGGATTTTTCTTTTTAGGATATATACAGAGCTTGTTTAGATTTATTTCATATGCTATCCACATATAGGTTGCTGTTTTACTATTAGGAGAAACCAAATTATCTCTTTTCGTTTATCATATTGGCACTGAATACGGTGATACTGAGTTTGATCCCAATCAAGATCCGGGAAGAAATAAGTCATTTAACACTAGAATCTTTGGCAGATTGAATAGTGTTATATTCATATTTGAATTGATTGTAAGCTGGAGGACCTCTTTTGCGCCGCTTCTGCATATTTTATTTAAACTTGATATCTTTGATTTTGGAAGGGGAGCCTAGGTGTAACCGGTAAAGTTGTTGTCATGTGACCAAGAGGTCACGGGTTCGAGCCGTGGAAACAGACTCTTGCAAAAATGCAGGTTTATGCTGCGTACAATAGACCCTTGTGCTCCGGTCTGCATAGCGGGAGCTTAGTGCACCGGGCTGCCCCTTTTCTTTTATATCTTTAAATTTGACAAAACAACAGTACAATGGACTAATTGATCAAATGCTTCTTAGAGTTCCTGTATTTGCTTGAAACATCATTGACAAATAGTTTGATCAACAACAACAACAACAACCCAGTATAATCCCACTTAGTGGGGTCTGGGGAGGGTAGTGTGTACGTAGACCTTACCCCTACCCTAGGGTAGAGAGACTGTTTTCAAATAGACCCCCGACATCCTTCCCTCCAAGAACTTCCCACCTTGCTTTTGGGGAGACTCGAACTCACAACCTCTCGGTTGGAAGTGGGGATTGCTTACCATCAGCGCAACCCATCAGAGCAACAAATAGTTTGATCAATCTGTTAAAATACATCTTCCAAATGATTGAAAGCGAGAGAGATGGTACATATTGGACCTCAAAAACTCCTAAATGTTTACTTATGAGTAATCATCTATTTGAATGATGATGATACCTGATATGTTGCTTACATGAAACCATTAGAACAACATGGTGGTCATAACAATCAGTTTTTGCTGTACCAGTGCGTGCATCTGATATATCCATAGTCTTAAGGTTTTCTATTCCAAGTTTTGGGCTAGTCGATATTCCTGTGCACAGGCAGATCGAGGATTTAAACTTGATTGGTTCAACCTTTAAGATTCTTAGCAATGAAATATGCTCAAACTTTAGTATTTCCGACACAGAATATATATTCTGTGTCGAAAATACTGGATTCGGTTGAACTCATTGAATTTAAGCTGCATCAACCTCTGTTTCTATGTGCTTCTTTACTTAAGTATCTTGAAAACAACTTGCTTAGACCTCTTTATTTTGGGAGCTCATTGATGTTATATGTTATGCATTTCTACAGCATAGCTTCACTTAACCCAAAATCTTACAATTTATTCTTTATTGCCTGATCTAAGTGTCTATATAATCAGTTTAAGAAATTCATTTAGTGGTGTATTTTCACTCTCCATGTTTGCTGAGAAAATTTGAGAAAATTCAAAAGTCTGTACACGCTACCCTCCCCAGATTATACACTGTGAGAATACATTGGGTACGTTGTTATTGTTGTAGTATTAAGAAAGAATATTACAATAGCAATCCATGTTACTGAGGCTAAGAGGTTATGAATTTTATGTTAAAGCAAGAC